ATGAATTTCCAATTCCATCGAAAAAGCTACATTAATTCCAACTCCTTAGACCAAAATCAAACAACATATCCACTCTCTCTTCAAAAAAAAAATCTCATGTCTCTCTAGCCGAGTGACCTTTGCGATTTCCAAAGGTTGCCACCGGCACCTTATAAGAGTAGTTAGCATAAATGGTCACACAACTTATCACTTTGTACAAAACGGTCACAAAACTTTCATTTTGCACCATATGGTAATACAAGTTTACCCTTATAACAAAACTGTCATTTCCATCCATCTCCGTCCAAAACCCTAACAGAATGTTGATGTGGCTGCTGACTCAACATCCCAATCAACAAAATGAAGGATAAACTATCATTTATTATTTATTACTATTTAATTATAGTTAAAAAAATATCCATAAAACTTAAATTCTTAAAATAGAAAGAGGGAAACCTTCCGTCCTTCCCTTAGCTCTTTTCGTTTTCGGAAAAGAAATAGAGCAAAATGCGGCCGGGGACCTCTTCTTCCTCCGCTTTCTTCCCCTTCTCCACAGGCGAACCCTCTCGCCGTCGGGAATTCCATGAGAGACATCTGTAAGGGCGTCAATTTGGTTCCTTCTGGAAACTGAAGTTCCCGCAAAGTTCAGCGGATTTTGCCGCCTGATCTACTTCCGTCTTCCACTTCGGAATCCTCTCGGCCGCTGGCGATGGGAACCCGGAGCCATATCTCCACATCCTCTGCCTTTCCCAGGCTTCTTCAGTTTTGACGCTAGTTTTATGAGTGAAAACCCCAACCCTCCTATGGTTTTCCCCTTCGGTTTGTGCCCCGATAGCAGCACGGCAGAACCGCAGAGCAGGGGAAGAAAACAAATTCGAGTTTCCTCGCGCCCATCGGATCTAGGGTAGGTTTCTGCTGTCTCGGATGTTGTAAATCATGCTGGTGGGATTTGCGTGGTGGTTGTGGTTCCTGCCGGCGGCGCAAGAGGAGGAAAGGGGTTTTTCATTTCTTTAAGACGGAAGCACAAGAGTTGAGGGGCGTTATTTTTAGTTTTCTTCTTAAAATATTGGAAATGAGTTTTAAATGCTGATTGCGAAGTTGAGTCAGCAACATCTACATTCTGCTAGGGTTTTGGACGGAGATGGATGGAAATGACGATTTTGTTATAATTGTAAACTTGTATTACTAAACCGTGCAAAATAAAAGTTTTGTGACCATGTTGTACAAAGTGATAAATTGTGTGACCATTTATGCTAACTACCCCACCTTATAGTGACCGGTGACAACCCTTCTCCACCTTCATTTCACTTTTTATTTAATTATTTTCCTTTCTTATACTTTGTCATTTTCAATTTTGTTTTTCCGTTGTTCTAGCCATTAATAGGCTTTTTCTATTTTCCCTTTTTGCATGGTCCATGAAACCGTACCGTACCGGCGGTTCAACCACGAAATACCAGTATCGGAGGCTAAACCGGTAGACAGTATTTAACGGTATAACGGTTGAACTACGATAAAACCACGGTTTTACCATAAAATACCCTACAGCTGACTTTTCCGGTACGGTCTCCGGTACGGTTTCATGGACCATACCTTTTTGTTGTCCCTTTTCCTCTTGTGGATTAACCTCTTTCTCCACTGTCGCACTATGGGTTGAGCTTTTTGTCCTTTGTTCTAAGTTATTAGATTTGGAGCTTAGTCGATCTAAGTAGCAAAAGAGGCTGGATTTGTTATGAGTTCAATTTGTCTCCTCATCTTCTTTCCCTTCATCTAGCAACTTGCTGCAATCCTGTAGATCTCGGTGTTCTGGAGATGTTTGGCCTTGGCTTGAAGATAGAATTCATTCCTTGTTCCTTCACCGACCGCACTTTCGACCGCACTTTACGTCAACCTGTTGTTTTATGACGTAAAGGAGCTCATTGAGTTTGGGTCGACGAGCAATGGTCGTAGGCTGCTCATGTTGCTTCCGCTTCCCTCCATCCGGTTAGGTTGACTCCAACTATCCTTCTTGGTGGTTATTTGGACCATCGTCTCATGACATCAGTTGGTCGAAGGTAGGAATGGCAATGGGGCAGGTTCGGGGTGGGTTTCTTGGTACTAGACCTGTCCCGTGACAGGTCAGGTACATGTCGGGTAATTTATTACGGGTCGTGGGTCGGGGTAAGTCGATCCAATGGGTATACAATTTATATGAAAAACATTAGAAATCTTCGTTATTTTTAGTATAAGACCAATAAAACAAACAATATTATAATAAATGTAGTTAAATTATTGGAGAAATTGAGGTTTTCACTAATTTACAACTTTATGACAGGCAGCTAAACTATGATGTAACAAAAGAAAAATTCTAAGTAATTTGACTAAGATTACAAGTAATTTAGGCAAGAACGGGTCGAGAATGGGGCATGTCAGGGCAGGTCGGGTCAATGAGAGTACCCATGCCCGCCCCGTCCAAAAACAGACCAAACAGGTCGGGTAAAATGGATCAGGTCGAAATTGCCATCCATAATCGAAGAAGGCATTGCCTGAAGCGTCCAACGAAAGTTGAGGTTCCAAGAGCTATCATTGTGCAACTAGGGTTTGAGAACTTAGGCCTTGTTTAGTATTGTTGCTTGTTTTTGTTTTCTATTGTGTTTATGAAAATTGTGAAAATCAAGTTGAAAAAACATGTTTAGTTGGGTTTCTATTTTTTTGTTGTGAATCAGATTCACATAACCAGGCCCAAAACAGAGAAACAATAATTTATTGCTTTGGCAATAAATTATTGTTTCTCTGTTAACTGGGATTGTCTGAGGCATATTTTAAGAAACATGGGTATGAATGCCAGGCTGGTTAAGTGGATCATGGGGCTGGTTACCTTCTCGAAACTCTCTGTCCTTGTTAACGGGGAATCGTCTGGTTTCTTCAATATGGAACGCGGCCTAAAGCAAGGAGATCCGCTCTCCCCCCTTCTGTTTAGCACTGTTATGGATGTTTTCTCGTTCATTGTTGAAACTATGCAGGAAGCTGGTCTCATTTCGGGATTCCACTTTGATGAAATCGAGCTGCGCGGGCAGGTCTCCCATCTCCTCTACGCAGATGACGCAATTGTTTTTTGCGATGCTACCGAAGAGGAGATGTTTAATGTGCTTGCTGCGCTGATGTGCTTCCAAGCCATCACCGGTCTGAGAATTAACCTCGAGAAGAGCAAGCTGTTTCCGGTTGGCGAAGTCGAGAACATTGGGAGATTGGCGGATATCCTGGGCTGCGACTGGAGTTTCCTTCACACTGTGTATCTTGGCCTTCCTCTTGGCGCACAGCCAACATCGTCCTCTATTTGGGATCATGTTCTAATCAAGACGCAAAGAAAGCTCGATGGTTGGCAGGGCAACTACTTGTCCTTGGGTGGAAGAGTTACTCTGTGCAAGGCTGTTTTGGCTAGTCAATTGCTTTACCAATGTTCGCTGTTTCGGGCCCCCATCAGTGTTATACAAAAACTTGAGAAAATGCAGAAGGACTTCATTTGGTCGGGTGCGAGGCAAGAGAAGAAGATCCACCTTATGGCCTGGGATTCCTGCAAGGCACCAAAGAAGTTCGGGGGTCTTGGTATCCTTGATCTTAGAACTCGCAACACTGCTATGTTGGCTAAATGGTTGTGGAAGTTCGCTCGCGATAGAGATGAATGGTGGAGGAATCTTATCAGCATTAAATATCCGCATTCTGCTTCGGAGTGGATTTCTGGGGAGATGAAGACTCCTGTGGGGTGCAGCCCATGGTCGCAAATCTTGAAAACGTCGAAGGAGTTCTGGAAGTTCGCATGGGTGGATCCCGGGGGAGGAGCGTGGGCGTCTTTCTGGTTTGATGTTTGGATCAAGGGTCGACCTCCGCTGGCCGAGAGCTTTCCGAGGGTATTCGCTGCTGCCGAGTCGTCATGCTGTCAAGTTGCTGAAGTCCTTCATCGTGAGGATGGGTTTCTTTCTTGGGAGTTAAACCTTCGTCATGTTCTTCGGGGTGGGGCTGAGCGTGAGAGAGTTGAGCTGTTTAACCTGTTACATTCTGTTTCCCCGTGTCTGTTTTCTGCAGGGCCGGTTAGACTTACTTGGGAGCCGTCCCCGTGTACCGGCTTCCATGTTAAGTCCATGTACGAGAATTTGCTCAAGGATCACCTCAACTTGAGTCCCGAGTTCCCCTCTGATGTTGTTTGGCTGCAAGATGCCCCTTCCAAAGTCTGCGTGTTCCTGTGGCTGGCCTATCACAATAAGGTGCTGACGCAGGATAATCTCAAGAAACGTGGGTGGTTGCTGCCAAATCGGTGTGTCATGTGCTGCGAGGAGGAGGAGACCGTTGATCACCTGTTCCTGACTTGCAGGTATTCGCTCAGCGTGTGGCAAATCATGAGGAGTTTTGTGAAGCTCCCCGCGGTCCTGGCCTTGGATCTTCCTGCTGTTCTGAGAAATTGGAGCAGAAAACCCCCAGCCTGTCCGCAGGAGTGGTGCTCGAAAGTGTTCATCCATGCTTTTTGCTGGCGCATTTGGCTCGAAAGGAACAATAGAGTTTTCAGTGATGCTAGGGAGACAGTTGTCGTCACCTGCGTCAGAATTGGCAGGAGCATGGCGGAATGGTTATGCGCTCATAAGAAGGTTGACAGATTGGTTGCTGATGATTGGCTGCGTATCCTGAAAAACAGAATCCTCCCAAGAGCTGGCGATGCATAACTCTCGGTTGTTCGGATGTGCTGGGAACTGTTCTGGTTTGTGGGATTCTGGGTTTTTATAGTGCTGTCGTGGTCTTTGTCTTTGTCTTGGATGCTACTGCTTGGTTTGTTTTGCTTCCCCCCCCCCCCCCCCGCGTCGTTCGTTTGGGCTGGCGGGTGTTGCTGGTTTTTTCTTGGGGGGTTCTCTGGGTGCTGGCGGAGGGTTTTTTCCGTTTTTTGGGGGGGGGGGGGCTGGTTCTGGTGGCCAGCCTGTATGGTTGGGGGCTGCCATGCCTTGTATCTGTTTGCGTTGTACTCCTCTTTCTTTCTGTCTTCTGTTTTAATTGATTTCACCTTTATAAAAAAAAAAATAATTTATTGCTTTGGATATGATTTTTATACCTGTTTTACACGGGTTTCTTCCCTGGTTGGGAGTCTGATTTCATTAAACCATCCCATCAGTTTGAATCCCATCTAAAGCAATTTTTCCTTTTTAACACCCAACCCACTTGCAAACCCTAGTCGACATCTCATTATCCTTCTAGCCAAAATCGCCGTTGTCGACTTCTCCCTCTCGAGGGGAAGGACGAACCCAGATCATCGCCCAACCTCAAGTACTCCACCACTCCCTTGCTGTCGGCTTGATCTATCCCTCGCGAGAACTCCTCTCTTCGCTGGGCACAGAGCCGACGCTCTCTCTTCCGCGCGACGACACAGCCGGCCGCTCGTCCCTTTCCCTCGCCCGCCGCCTTTGTCCTCTCCATCGCCCTCTTTGCACCATCGATCGAATACAAATAAATGACGAATCCAACCGGCTTTCTCAGGTGGAGTTGTGTTGGCCGTGGATGTCGAAGGAGGAAGAGTCGTCGCTGACCAGATCGTTTCTTTTGTAATGGAAGCCGAGGGCGGAGGAAGATATGGGATTTCAGAGGATGACGAACCCAATGGCATTCATGGATTTGAACTTTACAGTTCTATAGGATATGTCTTGTGGTTCCATTTCTTTTAACCAGATATTAAAGCCAACAAATTATTTCTTGGTGATCCATTTGTTGCTCAAGGAAAGCCATCTTCCAATTCTTCAAAATTGTTCTTTCGATTGGCACAGATAATTTTGGAAATGGTATTTTGATCCCAGCAGCTCAATCCATGTTTCCTTTGCTGTATATTGAGAAATGTTCTGATTTTTTGTTATAAAGAACTAAACGCGATTATGTTTCTTGTTGCCGATTTCCAAGATATCTCATAATTACGAACTAAACATGTTTTTGTTTTCTATATTTATGTTGTTGTGGTTTCTCTTGTGTTACACAACCATGTTACAACCACAACAGCAACAAAACTATACTAAACGTGGCCTTAGCTTTTGTTGGGCTCCTTGTCTGGGCCTTCTTGGGTTTCTAGTTAGTTGTGTGGCCTTTGGATTTTCGTTTTCTCTGGCCACGGTTGTATAATGTTTGTGAACTTTCCACTGGACTCGACCCTCTTGCAATTTTGTTATTGTGCTCACATGAAATATGTGAAAACGCGCGTTCACGGTGCTATGCGTCCTTCGGATTGGAGTCATATGCTTTTATAACCGTCTGATAGACGTAATGTCATTTTTATTAAAAAAAAATGTCATCGCGTCTATTTGATGGTTGCGTATCATCTATTCTCGATCCAACAAACGCGAAACACTACGGGAACGTGTGAGCACCATAATTGAGTGTGTTGATAACTTCTTTGACTACCATAGAAGAAACTTCTTCAACTAACCTTCTGCTGCCGTTGAATCAAACAGAAGAATGCCATTGAGGGGGGACAATGACATTGGTAAGGACACCCATATGATCATAAGACCATCTCCAACAACCAAATGTCAAAATGCTAGAATGTCAAAATTATTTGGCATTTTGGCACTCAAAAAGTGGTTTTTGCTCCAACAAGCAAAGTCAAAATGCTAGAATGCCAAATCTTCTCATTTTGTGATAATCTAGCTTAGTGTAGGTTTCATCACTTTAATTAGATAGTTTATAGATTATTTGTATATAGGTAGAAATAATTAATTAATACGAATGTTTCGATATATTTTTTTTTTAATTTTGACATAAAAAAATTATTGTTAAACATGATGTTTATAGAGAAATCCGTGAAAAAGAACTGTTAGGGGCTAATAGAGCCGTTGGTAATTATTTGAGTGACTGAAATAGATTTTTTTCTTCTTCTTTTTCAATTTCCAACGGTTATGAAGGTGGAAAAGTGTGGGGCCAGCTCCCAACCCACATTTAGCTTTCTTTGTCTTTTTCCAATGGGTTTTTGGCTGAAATTTTTGGCTTTTTTGGCTTTTTAGCTTTTTCCAATTGCCATTGGAGGAAGTATTTTAGGATTTTTGGCTTTTAAGGTTAGTTGTTGGAGATGGTCTAATAATTGTATGAAGAAATTACCTAAATTGGGTCATATTGCCGTACATAATCCCCAAAAACTTGCTCTAGTTCCTTCACTTAGATACTAGTGCACTATTGCTATTGAGTATTGTTTTGAAAATAAAAGTGGACAATAGAGAGAGAAAAGGAGGAGGGTCAGAATGATGATACATCAATATCTACAAAGGACCTCTCATCCCTTCCCCAAGGTCAATATAAAAAGAGACCCATCATTGCTTCCCTCCATCAGTGTGGGCATCCTTTGATAATTGTCTGGTCCCATATGCCCTACCAATTTTTTTTGTTGCAAAGTATTTTAACCATGATCATGGTTCAACGATTTAATATCCCTAAACAATAAACATCATTTTTAGGTTTAGACTTTGATACGATGTTTATACTGTTGGATCGCTCGTACAGTATGGTTTCACAAACATTGTGGACTATATTTAATTAACTGTATTTTTTTTAATAGTTCATTATATATTGATCTCAATCTTGCAATTTCAAATACGGAATAATCCCCAAAATTAAACCGATATGTTCTTAACTTCCAACCTAATTATTTGATATATTTCCCTCAATACCTATATTCAATCCGGAAAATCTTGCGAATGCGGCTGTGGTCGATAATCATCCTCTAAGCCTCTATATTCGAATTCCAGAAACAACGCTCGATTCCCTTCCCCCACCTCTCTAGTAACATTCATGATGAATAGGTCCTTATACTTTACCCACACCGACTCTTAAAATTTTAGTTTCGCCTCTACTCGGTCAAGCGTTAATCCATTGAAAAAAAAAGGTAAAAACAAGAACCAAGGAATGAATATGCACACGTAGGGTTAACATGATCCCATCACAAAACAAAAACCAATAAAAGCCCCCCATCAGAATTCGTGCCCCTTTTTCTTTCTTTTCTCCTCCCCCACACTCAACCAACAACACTCTACTCTCAAGTCTCAATCCTACGCACCAACAGATTCAGCTACAGACTTGCCCTAAAAATATTAAAAACTGATCAGCCAATATAGGTAGCTAGCCGTTGATGATGCTGCTGAAGATCTGATGCACAGCTGCTGCCACCTCATCTGCTGATCCCAGCTTGCATTCTTCCTCTATCTGCATCGTCCAAACAACATATTTTTCCATTAACACAGGACGAAGAAAAGATAACGCGCTATCGCGCGAGCGTCTTATCGAACACGTTACGACCACTCGATCAAACTTTTTACGAATCGAAAAAAAACGATGAGAAAAATTGTTGAACAGTGGAATCTCCCATGGAAAAAAGAACAGTAAAAATGGCTGAAACTTTACAGACTAGACAAGCCGCAGGCTTTTGTTGGAGTTTGGGATTGAAAAGAAAGGGAATCAAGTCAAACCTTCAGAACAATAAAATACGGTTTGACAATCAAAATTCAAAAAAAGGGGGAATTTTTGTTTTTTCATTAATTTAAATTGGATTTTTAATTTTTAATAATTACCTTGAGATTGAAGGAGTAGAAGGCGGTGGAAGCGGAGGAAGAGATGTTGAGGTGCAAGACGGTGAGGCAGAGCTCCTCCAGCGCGACGATGGCTCTCACCAGCTGCCGCCCTCTCGTTCCTCCTCTCCCTCTCCTCTCGCACTTCACCTTCAAGTTCACGTGGTTCTGTATCGCCGTCACCTCTATCTCCGCCGCCTCCGATGACGGCGCTGCCGCGAACTCCTCCTCGCACACGGCGGCGGCGGCGGCGTCTCGTCGAATCCTCTTCTGCGCTTCCAGGCACTGCAGCAGCTGCTCCAGCTCCTTCACGAAATCGATTGCGCCTCCGATGATTGACGCTTGATCCCCCTTTTTGGAAAAAAAAATCCCCAAAATCTCGTCAGTGCAATTGCGTTGCATAATCGGGGAGAGATGAGAGCATTCGAAACTAGGGATTGAGAAAACTACCCTTTGGACGTAGGAGGGCGGCATGAGGGAGCGGAGGGAGTTGAGGTGCTCGTTCATCTGACGCCGCCGGTTGCGCTCCACCGTAATGTGGGTCATCCGTTGGCTCTCCACTTCCTCCTTGTTCTTCGCCGCTCTCGTTCTCTTCCTCTTCCTTCTCTCCTTCTTCGTCGCCGTCGAGGAACCATCGGCGGCCGGTTTCGCGGAGTTTCTGGTGGCTTCTTCGGTGTTGGTAGCACTCCAGGGAAGAAGAGGAGCGGAGCTGGGATTTGGTGGGTCGACGGTTCGGTCTTGCCCGGCTGCTCGCTCGCCGCCGGCGGGGCTTACTCCTTCTGGGCAGGAGCTGGAGTGATGGTGCGGAAGTTCTCGGGTTTCGGATTTGACGGGAGAGTCGACGAAGCTGGGGTAGTCGTGAGTGACATTGCAGCTCTCTAGCTCTATCATTTGAGATTGGGGAACTAATTGGGGTTGTTGTTGGTCGATTTCAGCGGAATCGAAACAGCCAAAAGAGGAAGAGGAGAAATTGTTGTTGACATCCCATGGCAGCTTCTTGAGGTGCTGGAGTTTGAGGAGCGTTTGGAAATTGGGTTCTCGGAAGCTGAAGAAAGGGAATGGTGGCCGCCCCGGCGAAGTAGTTCCATAGTTATCGACGGTTTGAAGCATTTGAAGGAACGGCATTGTGTCGTCGTCTAAGCTGGGGGAGCTTGCTGGGTACAACTGTCTTTCTTCTTCCTCTTCCTCGGCGGTTTGAACTAGAACTGCTTCTCGCTCTTCCCCCCGCTCTTGGAATCTGAAACTTGCTGCAGTGGTTGCAATCTGCTGCTCTAAGCACTCGAGATACGGGTCGCCTGCAAACTGTATGAAAAAATGTCTCAGAGAAACAAAGCAGGTGAAAAGAAGGAAATATGTGCATGTTTATGAGCTGGGTTTTGCAGGCATTGGAACCCAGGTGAGGAAAACTGGAAAAGGGAAAAGCTTGACTGACATGGGATGGAATGGGATTTATACTTAGCATTTCCAGAAAAACAACAACAGAAGATTCAATAAATGCAGGAGGTGGAGGAGGATGGAAGGAGCCAGAGAAGCAAAAAATTAAATGAGGTACTCTTAACTAGTTTAAGGAATGTTGATGAAATTTCCCTAGTTAAGGAACTGTTGCAAGGAAGAGAAAAGTGCAGAGGGGAAGACAGGTAGCTAAAACCAGCAAAGTAACATACACATGGAGGATTATCATTATGACTGATGGGGCCTTGGTGGAGATGGAGGAGCCTCTCCATTTCCTCTTCTTTTATTTGGTTTTTCTTTTTTGCAGCAGCAGCTATCCACCCACCCAACCAGCAAAGCCTTAAATTTCAAGGACTATGCAGCAAGCAAACATTCCCATTGTGATGCTAACAGAAGAAGAGGTGCAGCAATAAATGCAACCCCATTAGGAGAAGCTCTGAAGACCCCATTTCAGCTCACAAGCACTCCCGCTACTTGGAGATATAAATGCACAAATATTCCTTAGATTGTGGTGTGGATTCCCCGCCAGGTGGGGAGGAGGTTGGGGGTTTCAAAACTGCAAGTATTAAATGCTGTTGAAGAAGAACTACTGAATGCAGCAGTACTCTTAATACTTGTACAGCTAGCTCTCTGGAGCCCAGGAACAGGAAGGAGGAGACTATTGTTACAGTGTTACTATCTACTTCGCCAGGTAGAAGGGGGAGAAAGGGTGAAAAGGAAAATGTGGAACCAAGGATAAGAACTAAGGAAGATTTCTGTTGAAGAAGAGGAAGAGAAGTAGAAATGGAGGGGATGAGGAGGTTTTGAGTTTGTGGTGGGTTTGGGGTTTGTTCGCATTGCATTTTACATTCATAGTTACAGAGGTCCACTGTAGAATTATTGGCGGTGGTGGCAGTTTTGTCCGGCAGCGCGGACAAAAAGTTGTGGGGACGACTGACCGCAGAAAACCTCCGTCTTTTTACCATTTTTCTTTTGTTTCTTCTTCTGCTTCTCCCTCAGCAGTACACCCAAAAGGCCATGGAAAGTCCTTGTATGTATTGTATGGAATCTCTCTCACTCTCTCTCTAAGTAGGCCAGGCAGGCAGGCAGAGCCTACTTCTCTGTGAATGTGCCATTGCCTCTCTTGTCCTCGGTTCCCGAGGTGTCCTCCATCTTCTCTCACCAGTCGCTGCCTCCTCTGCAGCCCTCTTTTGTTTTCTCTTTTTCCTTCTGTACAAAATAAAACAGGAGGTTTTACCGTTTTAGCAAGGATTTGTAGTGATCCACAGCCTCCAAGAGCAGCAATTTCGTCCAATCAAGAGGATTGGAAATTTACCAAGCAGATGGAGATCTAGCAAGATTAATTTCCAGAACCAGCTTCCTCTTGCTAGAATCTGATATTGTGGTGAGACTGACTCTTGCGATAGTCTCCAAACAAGCGGAGGCAACCTCAAATCCTCTGCTTGTAAGGTGGTGGGTTTAGCAGGTTTGCTTACCATTTGGAAAAAGGAGAATACAAGTAGTAAGTCATGTCTCTGCTGATAATCAATCCCATGTGAATTCTATTTGCTATGTGAAGATTTGATATTTGGAATGCAAAGTACACTATTGGTTGGCCAAACTGTGTGATTATTGGAGGGGCATGTGATTTCTTCGTTGCTATGTGAAGATTTGATCTTTGGGCTGGTTGATGAAATACTTGGAGTGGGAGTTCATTGGATCAACGTCAACAGGTTTGATGTTGGTACAAGTAGAAGGATTCATGAGGGTGCTCAGCTCCGTGGAGTAGCAGAGCAAGCATTATACTTGTCAATCTAAATGTTGATTACTAACATATCGATCTTTGTTCAGATAAAAGAACTTACTTTCAATGTATGTGTGTTTGAATCAATTCTCCATTATGCCCTGTGGCTCTTGTGGATATACATTATTGCTTTATTCAATGCTCAACAGCATGCTTCCCTTGTAGATATTGTCGTCCAGCAGCCATGACGCCCATTTAGACCTACCATGATTCCCCATGTCAATATCATATTATGAGGTACTCGTGCTTAAACGTTCTTCTGATTTTCGCAGTAATAGTTGACTTTCTAGTCTAATATATATCCAAGTTTCTTTCTTCCCTGCTGTAGAATGATTCTGAAGCAAACGACAACGCCTTAATGGATTACATATGATTTCAAGTCCCCAGGGAGTCCCTTTCCATGGAAGGAAATTATATAGGCACAGTTCATGGTTTATGGATGACCAGAGGAATCTTAAGAGGGGCCATAAGACATCAGAAGCTCTACTGCCGTCTATGCCAACTGGTTGCAATTGTGCTGATCTGTAGTTATCCAAGGTTTAGCCCTGAACCCTCCATGAACTAGTTAGTTCATTCGTTTCGTTCATTTTTATGCTGGTTTAAAATTGCACTGCTCTGTAAGTTCAATGCTTCAAGTTGAGATGCATTTCAGATACTATGTTTTAGGTTTGTTCTATTAACATGGTTGTGACTTGCAGAGCATCTGGACCACATTAAAGAAGGAATTGCTGAGCTGAGAAAGGCATCAGAATCTGTTACAGCATAACAGAACTACCTAAGTACACAAGAGAACAAACACCGACATAGTAAGCCGCTCTCTTGCTTCTATATTATTTGGTTCCCAATGCCTCAACTTGGCTACCTCTTTCAAGTACTGTCGTCCTTTCTTGACTACTTCTATCTTCTTCTGCTTGCAGGTCACTGGAACAAAGTTATCGCAGCAAGTTGGAATCTTTTCACCACCACAAGTAAGGATGCAGAGGAGCCACCACAACTCCAAAAGTAAGGATACAAAGAGGAGAACCTGTTAACTAAACTTGGCCATGGTTCATGGGTTCTCCTAAAAATCAACTGTCATTCTAATCCTAGGCTCTAGTTGCTTAATAGCTGCCATTTTGTGTCTGTATGTTAGGTAGAGTTATGTCATTCCTGTTAAAAAATGGCTTCCGCGCTTCTGAGTGACTTGACCTGTGTCTTTTCCAGTTTTCTTTCTCTGCCTTCATGTGCTGCACTACATGGCCTTAAACATTTCACGTATTTTATGAGAAGATATTTTGTTTCATAACATGTTTATTATCGTCAATCTTAGAAATATAATCAATCTTAGAAGAACCCAAGTTGAAAAACAAATTACTCGACTCTGTACCACTTCTTTAGTGATATGATTAAACTCCAGGAGAGATTTGTGATTCCAACACCAAGAAGCTGAGTTGCATGCTTTACAATTATGCACAAGAACCACAAATCTAATTTCATCTTGGTTGGTGCTTGCATTCTTGCTGTATATATTAAGAAGACTAGGAATCAAATTCCATCTTGGATTTGAATGTTTTGAATTATTGAGAGCCGATATGTACGTCCGGTTACTGAGTCATTATCAAACTCATATTTTTCGGTTTGTTTAGGATGAAAAAGTGCAGAGGTGAAGATATGTAGCTAAAAGCCTAAAACCAGCGAAGTAACATACACATGGATGAAGGATTATCATCATGACTGCGACTGATGGGGCCTTGGTGGAGGAAGAGGGTGGAAAAGATGATGTGAAACCAAGGATAAGAACTCAGGAGGCTTGTTGGCTGAAGAAGAAGAAGAAGAAGAAGAAGAAGAAGAAGAAGAAGATATGGATGATGAGGTTTTGAGATTGTGGCTGGTTTGGTGTTTGTTCACATTACACTTACACTTACACCCACAAGTCCAGAGGTCCACTGACTCTAGAATTATTGGCGGTGTCCGGCAGTTTTGTCCGGCACCGGCAGGCGGCAGCACGCACGGACAAATGGTGGTGGGGACGCCTGAAACAAGCTTTATCTTTTACAATTTTCTTCGGTTTCTTCTTCTTCTTCTTCTTCTTCTTCTTCAGTAGTACACCAAAAACACCATGGAAAGTTCTTGTATGTATTGTCTGGAAACTCTCTCTCTATCTACCTAAGCTAGGCAGGCAGAGCCTACTTCTCTGTGAATGTGCCTTTGCCTCTTTTCTCCTCGGTTCCCTATCTAGCCTGCCTCTTCTACAGCCTCTATTGTTTTCTCTTTTTCCTTCAATACTGTTGTATTGAGCTTTTCTTGTCTTCTGTTCTATGAGCTCTCTTTTCTTTTCTTTTTCCTGGGATCATAAAAAGGGACATGAACCCTTTTTTTTTTTTTTGGGTTAATACTCTAGTTTGGCCCGAAGTTTAGCGTAAGTGACAATTTTGGCCTCAATTTCCAAATAAGACATTTATGGCCTACTTTTGAAATTATTGGACAAATTTGGCCCGAAACTTATGTTGACCGTCAAAATTAACAGTCAATTGTTATCTCCATCCATGACTCAGCATACTGTGCTGACTAGACAAGTACACGTTATTAATTTTTTTTTTACCAAAACACCTCATTATTATTTAAAATAAATAAAAAACTGAAAATAAAAAAATAAAATCAGAGAAAAGGGATACGAGGACCCTTCCCCTTCCTTATCTTCTTTCTCCATTGTCTTCTCCCCAAGACAAAAGAACACCATGGACCAGAAATCCCCATCCCTTGCTAGGGTTCCATCGCCATCTTTCCCCTCTCCCCTCTTTCTCCATGGCCAAATCCCCACCCTAAACAAAACCCAGCACTTCCGTCTTCTTCTCACATGGCCAAATCAACCCCCGTTAGCCGATTAACCCAACGTCGTCGTGCTCTTGCCAAACTCGTCGTCTCCGATTCGAGACAATCCTCGACGGTGACACCACCCAGGATATGCCGGCGTTGTCCAAAATAGCTTGCCGCCTTTGCCATTGTCTCTGGTTGTTTCTTCTTCCCTAGGATTGCCCCATCGCCTACTAGTTCGGCAACGAGATTGACAGATCTGGGATAGGGACATGGCGACGCACCTTCGTTGGACCGAACACGCACGCCAAACCGTCGTCGTCGCCGCTGCCACCAGCCCTCCCCGTCGCCTTCACCTTCGCGGAAGAGGCACCGACACAAGCCCGACAAGGATAGGGATATGATGGGTAGGGATGCGATGATGAAGATGGTGGGGGAGATCGAGCGGAGGTAGCTGGAGATGTGTATGGTGGCTTTTTTTTCCGGTAGTGATGTTAGGGTCCGATTGGTTGGGTTGGGGAGGAGAGTGAATTGGGTCGTGAGGGAGAGAGTTAGGTGGAGATTAGAGAGTGTGTTTTGATTTTTTGGATTTGTTTTATTTTATTTAAAGTTTTTTGTTTTTGAATTTTTTAATATAAATAAATGATGTGGCGGCCACCTTGGATCCACCTTGGCATTTGGATGTTGTGTCACTGACGGAAAAATAGTTGACCGTCAGTTTTAACGGTCAACATAAGTTTTGGGCCAAATTTGTCTAATAATTTCAAAAGTAGGCCATAAATGTCTTATTTGAAAAATGAGGCTAGAACTGACACTTACGCTAAACTTCGGGCCAAACTAGGGTATTAACCCTTTTTTTTTTGTTAAGTATAGTTAGTCATTCAACATGGCAAAGAGCTAAGCAAATCACCAGACCAAGGTTGTCAACTTGGTTTAGTCTGTTAACCCAGTCGAGTAAGTGGATTGAGGGTTTATGATCTGATCGCTTTAGTCATATAAAAAAATATATTATATTATTCATACATTTATAAATTATATAAATTACATCTAACAAACAAACGACGTCGTGCAATCTCCAACTCGGGAACCATAATTCAAGTCCCACCAGGTTTGGGCCAATCCACGAGTCGACCAGCGGGTTGACAACCACGCTTGATGGACCCACCACTTGATAACATCAGACAGGACCAATTCATTCCAACCCCACCACCATAACGTAGTAACAAGTAATCCTTTAGCATTCCATGACAGTGAAAACCCTTGGATTAAATTTTACTGCAGCAACTATCATAGTTGTCTTTTGAGTTTTGGGCACCACAACAACACAAAGAAAAATTGGTTTCTTGCTCCAAATACTGAAATAGGTACAACAAGTCAACAATAACAAAGGGGTGCTTGAAAACAAATACCCAGAAAAGCCAGTGAACAACATACTACATGGAACGGTCTTGCAAGCTGTTCCTGAGTGTCTGCTACCTTCAGCAATCGAGTAAATTCACTCCAGATCAGGCAGCAACAACAGTAAGAGGTATGATCAAAGAGAGAAATGTTAATACATGTGAGCAATTTAGCAACTCCTTTACTGACCTTACAACACCACTCAGCTATAAACAGGTTGCAGGCGATAAGTAATGTCACAGACACCTCTCCATGAATTCCCAGATTCTATTCTCCATGTACACACGGTCCTTGTGTCTTCTCGGCATGTGTCTTTCATCCGGGAATATCAACAGTTCATAAGGTTTCCCTGCTTCTATTAACCCATTCACCAGCCTCGCCGTGTGCCTGAAATGAACGTTCTCATCGATCATCCCATGCACCAACAACAACTTTCCTTTCAGGTTGTAAACGTGATGCATCACCGAGCCATATTCATAGGCTCTAGGGTTTTCCAGAGGCAACCCCATGTACTTCTCTGTGTAAAATGTGTCGTAACCATCCCACGAGGTTACAGGAGCACCTGCAACAGCGCAGCAGAAAGTGTCGGGAAACCTGGCCAAGATCATAGCCGACATGTAACCTCCATAGCTCCATCCATACAACCCGATATGGCCAGCTTGTGCTAGCCCTTGTTTGATGAGCCACTCAGCTCCTGTTAGTTGATCGTCTGCATCAACTTTTCCAGCATTGCATTTGAGAGCGCCTTCAAACTTGAGCCCTCGTCGAGCGCTTCCTCTGTTATCCAACTGTGAGAAGGGAGCAACCAAATTCCATTATTAGTATTGGTGTCTGAATTTTCGCTCAAGTGACTTGATAAAACAAGTTCACTTACTAAGTAAGACAAACAATGTTTTTTCTTCTTCTTCTTCTTAAAACTGACTTTATTAACAACTATTCGCCCTAAATCCCACAAATTGATTAAATCTGAATGGAAAAAATGACTCTGCCTATCAATTGGATTGGAAGAACAAATTTAATGCATATTCAGGTAGTATGACCGAAAAGAAAACTGAGTAAACCAATTTTGAGCAATCAAGTTAGAACTCACAGACCTTCCACACTAGGATGCCTTTACTCCGAAAGTATTGTGCTCTCATATCAACTGTATTTATCCAAGAATCATAGACACACTGCACACCAGGACCACCGTACACACTAATTACAGTTCTGTATGGTGGCGGTCCAAATTTCACTGGGTCAGGCTTATACAAAGCCCCATACAATAAAGTCCCGTCATTTGTCTGAATCTGAACGATCTCTGGATGATCGAATTCAAGCTTCTTTAATCTTGGAATGGCGACTGACTGTTCATAAAGAGGTGCTATCAAACTTCCATCCAGCAAGGAACAAAGTAGAACCCTAGGTGGAGAATCAATGGAATCGTGAACATCAATAAAATTCCTCATATGGTGATCAAGAACAACCACATGTTTCCCCTTACCATGGGTTAATCTCAAAGGACCCTCTGAGATTCTGGTGCCATGATCCGGGTACAATTTAGCACGATAAAGATTCGATTCCAGAGGACTATCTAGGGTTGCTGTAAAATATATGAAACCTGCAGCCTCATCAACACCAGCAAGTTGCTCAACCATCCATTGGCCTTCTGTGATTGGTCCCAAGCATGTTCCAGTTTCGTCATGCAGATAAAGGTGTTTGAAACCGGTTTTCTCACTAGCCCATAAGAAACCTCCAGAGTATTGATTGAGACCCTTGTCCAGGGGAGTGAAGCAGTCGTGTAAATTGATCCAGGGTTCTTGTTCTTCCACAAAAATCACTTCTCTTTTCCCTGTCCTGATTTCAAACTTCAGGATCTTTAGTTTTGTGTGTGACCTGTTCAAAACCTGAGCTACGAGAACATTTCCATGCATCCAATTCACCCTGGCCAAATATTCCTCATTATCTGTTCCACCGCATAGAAGATCCATCCAAGTGATGGGACCACCAGCAACAGAAACTACCCCAAGACGAACTTTCACATTTGAAGCACCTACAAAGGGATAAGCATGGTCTTCCTCTGCCTCTGAAGAACCAACAGCACTTTTCCCTTGGTGCATAATTCTAAAAAGAGGTATCTCAGATGAATCGACCTGAGTGAACGCGATGAATTTGCTATCAAGGGACCACCAGTATCCATTTTTCCTGTCCATTTCCTCCTGTAGTCATTTAAACCCAACAACCTCAGCAAAATGTTGTCCAAACTTGCAGAAGTGATCGGTTAAGAGATATAAAAGCAAGGATGGGATGATTCCTTACCTGGGCAATATATTCTGCAAGAGCATTAGTCTGAAGAAAACATAGAAACGTCAGTTCAACAATAAAAAGAATCTCAACAGAATAGCACATCCTTATCGAACAAAAATTAACTTGAAATGTGATACACTAGCCAGTAGGCAAAATTTTGAATTCTTTTCTAAGTTTACGACCAAAGTATTGTATAAAATAATGTAAGAGATATTTTGTCATGCTTAGGTAGTCACATCTCATGAGAAAACAGTAATTTTCACAATGACTAACAACTGGACTAAAACCTTATTTAACCATTTATCCTGCATCTAGAAATAGATGACTAGTGGTGTTTTACTTTAACCTCATAAAAAACAAGGACAATGTGAACTTACCACTTGATGGCCCTTGGAATCAGAAGTTAGCTGTATAGATTCATTATGCAAGAGATTTAGAACATGTAGCTCACTATCTCTAACGTAAGCTAACATGGAACCATCTGGAGAGAGATGAGGATCAATGATGGGAGAAGTTGGTGAGCTTGGAAGCTTCAGTTGAGGCTTCGAAGAAGAAAATTCTTGGAAATAAATCTGCCACCAATGGAAGATGTACCATTAGCAGGCTTAAAACCCCAATTTACAGCATTAGCAACCTGAAGAGAAAGCCAACCCACCCCAGCAGGCAATGGCACCATAATCTTCTTCTTCTTCGAGCTAGACTTGGCCCACTCATACCGAGTCACTCCAAGACCTCTCTCCCTCGAACGCTCCCTTCTCAATTTTTCTTCTGGTGAAATGCTGCTCTCATCAAGTCCGCCATCAGGGGGACGAAACAGCAATTCCTGCTTACCAGTCTTGAGATCCAAAGTAAAGACATTTCTATTGAGAGAATGATCAGGACTAAACAAGAAAGTTATCAATGAATCATCCGGACTAAAGCTGATCGCGCTTGGTGCAACATATCCAGGCAAAGGCGATTGAACAATCTCTTCCACCGGAAAGAAGATAGAGTGGTCCATGTTTTGTGGATTGGTACTCTCAGTTACAGGCATATCGTTTGATCGCTTCAACTTCTTGTTCTCACTCTCATCAGCTGATTGCATTACAGTATCCACGAAGCCACTAAACTCTCGTTTAATCTGCAACAGATTAACATGAGAGTAGTTGATCAAATGAGCAAACTTACAAACCTTTGATCAGTATAACCAATGTCAATTACAGTGTTGCTTCTGAAATGGATTTCAAAGACATTATTCACAATATCAATGACCATCGACCAAGTTCAATAAATTGAAGCATAAACATGGAGCCACATTTCCAGAGATTTCAGAACCAGAAACGAAGGAAAATAGATCACAGAAGCAATAAAGATAACATCACGCCAAGGAAACCCCACTTCTAAGACGAACTTACCCGCTAAGCAGCCTGGTGAGTGGCGAACTAGTTTGCTATCTGACGGTCAAAGGAGAGCATAACTCCATGGATCCGATCACAGTCAGACAACGAAGCAAACCAGGAAGAAGACAAGATCGCAACTTTTCGCTTTCCCAACTGATGGATTAGAAGACCCTTTTTGAAGAAATGGATTCCGAGTACTTCTATTCCACCTGAAAAGCTAATCATATGAATCGATCAGCGGCCATGAAAGCGGAATAGCTCAAAAGGCAGAAGAAATGTGTAAAGAAAAGAAAGAGATGGGATATGGCAGATTACGGGATTCCTGGGAAAGAGTAATGTAAAAGTGCAATGGATTGAGGAGGAAGTGAGGGAACTGGATTCTGTCACTGTAAGCGATCAATCGGAAATGCTATGGATCTCTGATTCGGTCTTCTTCTCTGTTTCTTTTTTCCATACCGTTGAATTATAGATGGATTATCCGATCGGTGGGAAATTCTGTTTTGGCAGCTCAATTACGTCCCTGAACTTTGAGCTTAGTGATACATCAGTCACTGAACTTTGGTTTTCTTTCAATAGTCACCACCACTTTGGTTTTTTTACCACATTAGCATGTCAGTCACTCAAGTTAATCAGATGACATGGAAATCATTGTAATCCATTCATCATCTAAGATGATACATAATTACAGGGACAAGTAATTCGAGAGAGTTAGCTGCAAATATGCATAATTTTCACGAAAAGTTTCGTTAAGATGAACAAAATGATCGCTATGTTAGTTATATTTATAATTTGTTGACAAACTTAGTTAGAAATAAAATCTAATAATTATCGATTTGTTAGATATCCCTAATCTAGTGAATGTATGTATAACGAATGACACACAAAATTAGTTCTTATTTGCAACATTTTCCACATATCCATTCACTTGGACGAATAGGACTAACCCAATTATTTTGGATTGGGACGAGGACAATGCATCAACACCATATCAATTGGCTTGGGTTTTATTGGTAAGATGCAATAGGGAGTGTATTTTGCTGGATTTGTTAAGGTGGGTCATCTATTATTCAAGTCATAAAGTATTATTGCAGGTATATTCGTGCACGCATAACTACTCGTTGGATAAGATATGGATGTATAATTTAAATGACACTTTCAGAGAATTCGTCGCATCCTTTTGGTTAGACCAAATTCTCATCATAACCACCATTCATTGCTACCCTGAAATCAAATTAACATTGGTTAGGATTTGCTTTTCTACTTCACTTTTAGCATGGTTCATGCCATGATTTTCACCTTTATAAGTTGAAGTCATGGATACTGCCATGCCATACGGGTATCAAAGAGTTGTCCGTAGTATCACGAAAAAAGTTTTGTTATCGATGGTTTGACTATTTGTCAATCATTGTCCTTTCTCTTATATGTATATATGGTTGCCTGAAAAGACTTCCAATTTGTATCTAGTGGTTCCCTATTGGGAATAAGTTTGATAAATCGAAAAATTACTCATGATGCAAAAAAGTGTCATGCATCAACTAAAGCTTGGGTTACAAGCATCAAACAACATAGCACATCAACCTACTCCATTTGACAAGTAAATGAGATTAATGAAAGATCTGGAACTTGCGGATTTCAGCTTTAAACCGACAATCATCAACTCAATGAAATTATTCATGATCAATGGTCTTTGTACTGAATCACCAACAAGACCAATCTACCAAGAACAAAATCCCTTCAAACTTACAACTACAGACTGAGATGCTAGACAGAGAATTTAACACCTTCGTCATCAGTCGAAGTTCCCTTAAAGATTGCTAGTTTTCCTTTGTTCTCCAACAGCTTCAGTGCTCGCATCAGAATTGTTCGATCAATCCCGTGAAGCTCTAATATAGGCAAATAAACTTTTCCATCAGTTCACAGATATGTTATAGGGGAAACCAAATTATAAGGTGGAGCTTATGTACACAGGAACAACCCGGGAATGATTTATGCACCCTTTCTGTTCACATTATCACTTAGCTATGTTGATTGGATGTATATGCAGTGGGATACTTCTTATCGCTACACTGAAGTTACCTGTTCCTCGTGATTCAATCCCAGACCTCATCTCTTCGATGGTTGTAACACCATCCTCCAAGCCGTTTTCTCTGACCTGATAAATTTTTTTCAGGTATATCAGTTGAGAAAGAAAAGAACTACTGAGATCAAGTGAGTGTATAGCTACTATGGAAGTCATGATTGGCTTACAAAATTTAAGATAATATCTGCCCAATCTTGAATACGATGCCAGAGAAGAAGACATTTCTTATGTCCTTTATCTAACCATTCGGCACGACCTGTTTTGAGTAAAACCAATACATTGAGACACTCTGCCTGTCAAACCATAGTTGAGGATAGATACTTCATTGGCATACAGATAGTAAGTAAAAGGAAGGAAACCAAGTGCAGGAAAACAATAAAGAATTAGGGTAAGCGAAAAGTACTAAACTTCTGATACCAATGCCGAAAGAAATGCCTCCCTCGCTTCATGACTTAGAGATCCTGCAGGTTAACACAAGCCTTACAATGTGACTAAAACTAATTTGCACAAAAAAGGAAGAGGAAACAATAGGAAGGAAAATATTACAGCAAATTGGACAAATGTGTCAAACCATGATTTAAAGGAACAAAGCAACCAGCAAAAAGCCACTACAATAGATGCAACGACTATGATTTACCATTGCATATCAGCCAGCACGAATCCAAATTTCAAAAGTTAACAAAGGACCCAAGATTTAGTACCCAGAGCATCTTTGCCAGTCAATACCAGACCAAGAATTAGATAAAAACAGAAAGAAAGAAAAAAACACAAAAATTACCCAACCCTTATTATCATATCAGAATCAAGAAGTGTCAAACCACTGGGATGTAAAGTTCATAATTCATCAACGTAGTAATTTCAATCTTCATAGTTCAATATAATCAAATAGCAAAATATAAACTGCCCAAGTGAACAACACTTACTTTCAATTGCAGGATTTGCAAACAGAGGGAATTCTTCTTCTAATCCAATTACAAATATCTTCTGGGTTCTACAGTAGTCAAGGATAAGTTCCTTCCAGAGCTGAATCTGCTTGTCTCGAGTGTCTCTTACTGGTTGCAAACTTCATGATAAAAACCATGATGTGAAAAACAATAGAAGAAAAGAAGGAAAAAGAAAATAGACTATGCAATCTCATTGAAACCTGAACTAGAATCATGAAGGTGAAAAGAAAAGGAACAATTGATTGGAGGGATAGGAGAAGGAACACATGTTTATTTTTTATTTTTTTCCGCCAGAAAGGAACAAGGTATCTATAACAAGTGGTCATTAGAAGACAATGTTCTTCATCTGTTAGAGAATCAATTGTAGGCCATAGTATGAACTTACACAAGAACTAGTTTTCTTATACCCAAACTATTAAATACATGCTGTTCTCCACAAGTTTTTCTACCCAAACTTCTTCAGACTGAAGGCAAGGGGATGCCATAATATGTCAGCACAAGAACTAGGGTGATAACAGTGTAACTGCTCTGCCCATAGAAGAACAGCAGATAAACATTTAATTTACTACTCTCCTTAGCCAGTTCAAAATATATTAGCCTGTATGAATACTACATTCTTAATGACCAATGAGGCTTTCAATGTCGTTGCAATTATCATTCATAATGGATATACATCTACTGCCCATGTTTAGTAACCCAACCGACTATGCAACTCCTCGACATGCAACTGTATTATGTTCTTATCTACAGGGAGTTAGCAGACATTACGAATGCAGACTAGATGGAGTAAATGGAGCCATCCTTAGTAGAATACAGCAAGAATAAGTGAATGGAAAAGGCAGACACTTACGTGAAGTACGGTGGATAATTGAAAAACTGGGGGAGCTTAAAATCACCCAATGCCTGCATCTTTCAGAGATCCTCCTGAGAAATGAGATCACCGGAGGCAACTCAGCAATCAGGAAAAGAGAAACAAAATCATCCAACTCTCAAGGAAGAAAATAGAAAAGCATTATGTTACTTGTAGCAGCTAATATGTCATATGGAACATTCGATGTAGACAAGAATATGTTCTAGTTATGATGCATTCAAACGAAAAACAAATTTTCGGGAAAGAATAACAATTTGTAGTTCTCCACCAAGCATCTATAGCATCAGCTAAAACCATTGATGTCTAGATAACAGTGGTCATGATCGAAATGAGAAAGAAGTAGCTATGCATAAGGCATCCCAGGTGAGCTTGCAGTTATTGCCATCATAAGCAAATCAATTGGATCACTAGAGTAGACAAGTAAGAAGTTTTTCTTCATGTAAATGAATCGACTTTATCAACAGAGTCCCTTCAACTCTCTACCCCATTTCTCCTCCCATAATCAATTGGTCCAACATTCCACTTATCCTACTGAAACCCTTTCATGCTACCAATCATTCCTTTGGTAGCCTAGTCCAAAACTAACTACCATTTACAACTCCACCAAAAATCCAAATTGGGCAAGAAACAATCCATCTGAATTCTCGAAAAAGTACTGACTGAAACTGTGAGGGACAGAACGTTAAACAACTATTGCCCAAATGACCACAAACGGCAGCACCAGCCACCACCCACGACTTGATTCTTCTACAGCAATCACTATGTGGATTGAGCCAAAACAAACCCAGAAAGATGCTGAAAGGGAAATCGCTGAAGCTTAGACGGATAGATATGGCGGAGAGAAATTAATTGGGACTGTAACCCTACAACCCAATGCGCCATTTGAACAAGAGAGGGGGGGAAAAAGAGCAAGTAGATAGAATAAACGCACAGGCGATGGTGAACTTCGACGAAACAAATTCTTCACCGCCGCGGCACTCTCCTCAGCCCTCTGTGATTAACGACAACCAATTGCAAGCTTTGACTAACAATTCCTTCACCTTCAGCCGCCGCTCACCTTACTGATGAAAAGAGAAAACAAAAGAAGAAGCTTTGGGATAGCTATGAGCTAATGAGATGCTGATACGGACCCAAAGCCCGACTGCCGGACTTCAACAACGACGACGAGAGCAATGGGTCTTCACTCTTCAATTTCAAAAGGTTTATTGACCTTTTGGCTCCTCTACTTTTTGGCTCATCCATAAACACCCCCCACTGAATTGTTTCGACTTTTCAGAGAAGGATTGTATTACGTTTTAGTCCTCAAATTATAAACTTCATCAAAACATGTCCCTATACTACGAAATTTTGTTTTTTGTATGTCAACTGCTAGCAATGGTTCGTCAAGATCCAATAAAATAAAATGGTTCGTCAAGATAATAATTTGTTAAGTGGAAGCATAAATATCGTCACTATTGCTCATGAATCTAATCTGCATAACTATTTATGAATTAAAGTTGAGTTGGGTTATAGGTATAATATGCTCTATGACGTTTTATCAAATATGCCCTTCTACTATTTTTTACATCAAATATGCCCCTGTACTTTGAAAAAATTATCAAACATGCCCTTTTGTTAAAATTTTCATTGAAAAAATCGTCAATCGTGGTTGAACAAAGATTTAGATGACCCGACATCGGCAAATGGGACGAAAATGTCAGTTTTGTCCCCTGATTTATTTCCCTGGATCTTTTCAAATTGAAATTATTTGAATAATTTGATTATACAAAAGAACAAAAAAATTCTAAAGTGAATTTATTATGGATATTTTAGTCATTTGTGTCGCCCAAACTAAAGTTCGGCCTTGGTTAACGGTTTTTGGATGAAAATTTTAACAAAAGGGCATGTTTGATCATTTTTACAAAGTACAGGGGCATGTTTGATGTAAAAAATAGTAGAGGGGCATGTTTGATAAAGCATCATAGTATAGGGGCATATTATACCTATAACCCATTAAAGTTCAACAATATGGTGTTTACGTGGAGAAGACAACGAATTTCAAGAATGATAACAAAAGAATCGTTGTACTATTTCTTTCGACGAAAAGAGCTCTTGCATTATTGTGGGAGACTTCCTACCCAGGCTTGAATCATATAGAGCACAAATTGTCCAGTCCAGATTAGGGGTGGGCATTCGGTCGGTTCGGTTCAAATCGAACCGAAATTATGCATACCGGGTCCCCGAATTCTATCAAACCTCAAACCGAATTCGAACCGAATTATAATTCGGTTCGGTTTTTCATACAAAACCGAAATAGTGAGGTTAGCTTGTATCTTCTCTTTTTTAAATTATTTTTCACCCCTAATGTAAACAATAAATATGCATCATCAATGATAAAATCAAACATTTCAACCCATAAGTCATAAAACACTAACATGATTCAAATATTTAAGTCTCATAATAAGTAGAAACATAAAAATCCACCATTTAGAGCTTGCAATTATAATAATTCGGTTTTTCGGTTCGGAATTCGAAAATTCGGTTTTGTCGTAAGGACCCTGGTTTCCAAAATATGCCCTTTTCTCTTTCGAATTCCGAACCGAATAACATTAATTCGATTTTGGTTCGGTTTATATTCGGTTCGGTTCGGTTAGGTTCGGTTTTACCGAAGCTTATGCCCACCCCTAGTCCAGATTCATGTTTGGCATCCTGAGAAATGTCTCGCCGTAAGGACGAAAAACAGAAAATGAATAGCATTCAGTAGGGGTGGGCAACGGGACGGGTTTGGGTACCCGTCCCGTTTGAAACGGGTACCCATTCCCGTTTGGAGAGTAAACTCCATCCCATATCCCAACCCATACGGGTTTACGGGTACCCGTTACCCGTACGGGACGGATAACGGGTACCCGTGGGTACCCATAAATTCCTAGAATGACAAAGTTCCTACAAACAGTTCCTACTAACACTTAGAAACATCACCAAGTTTCTGATAACCTTCTTCACAATGGCAAATCTGGAATTCACAGACACCATTCGGCTAAATCGGAGGGAGAGTTGGGGATAAGATCAGGTGACTAAGGGGGGGTCCCTTAGTCACTTGCCTAAGTTGATCTCAACCCTTCAACCTCATTAAAATCTAATGGCTCCAATTAATTCAATTTAATGAAGGGTAATGAAGTAATTGCATAGTTCATGATTATTTTATATTTTAATAATTAAAATTAAAAAGAGGCGGCACTTTCCTCCCCGCTGCCGCTCAAACTTTTCCGGCGTACTCCCGCCGTCCAGGATTTCCGGCGGCCACCATTTTTTTGTCCCAAGAGAGAATCGTCGGTTCCTGTCCTGGGAATATTATATTCCCCTTCCACCATATTTTTTTGTCCCAGGAAATACGTTCCCCTTCCCCTGAGAGAGAGAGAGAGAGAGAGAGAGAGAGAGAGAGAGAGAGCTTTTCCGGCGACGGCGGAGCAGTTTTCCGGCGACCAGAGACGGTGGTGGATGATTTTCCGGCAACAGTATTGAGTTCGTGATGTTTGTAATGTTTATATTACTATTTTGTATACATTGTAATGTTTGTAATGTTTGTTTGTCATGTTTGTTATTTTGTAATGTTTGTATACTTTTATGTTATGATTTGTATACTTTGTATTCATTTGTTTGTTTGTAATGTTTGTAATGTTTGTTTGCAATGTTTGTAATGTTTGTATACTTTTATGTCATGATTTGTATACTTTGTATTCATTTGTTTGTAATACAAGTTTACCAATCTGTATTGTAAGTAGTGATATTCTGTACGTGTAGTATGCTTTGTACTGTTTGTAATGTTTGTTTGTAATGTTTGTAATGTTTGTTTGCAATGTTTGTAATGTTTGTTATTTTGTATTGTTTGTAATGTTTGTTGGTTTCTTTTGTATTGTTTGTAATGTTTGTTATTTTTGTCCATATGTTTGTCATTTTTGTCAACCATGTTTGTAATGTTTTTTGCATCACAAATCAATACATATAAAGTATACAAATTATTAGTACTTACAATACAAAGCGAAACATACTAAGAATACAAGCAAAACATACTAAGAATACAAACTGTCAAAGAAAAACATACTAAGAGTACAAACTGTCAAAGAAAAACATACTAAGAGTACAAACTGTCAAAGAAAAACATACAAACCATACTGTCAAAGAAAAACATACTAAGAGTACAAACTGTCAAAGAAAAACATACAAACCATACTGACATTTTGTACAAAAATACTAACAATACAAACTAATGTTACAAAACATACAAACTATACAAATCACTGTTCTTCCTTCAGACGACTCTCTCTTCACCGCTGCCGCCGCCGTCGACTCTCTCTCCACCGCTGCCGCCGCTGATTCAATCTACTGCCATCGCAACCTCTCTCTCTCTCTCTCCATCGTCGCACCGCCTCTCTCTCCTCCATTGTCGCCGGCGCTCTCTCTCCGCCGCCTCTCCATTGTCTCTCTCTCTCTCCTCTGGTTTCCCGACGACGAGATCTGCTTTCTCTCTCTTCAAAGCCGCCGCCTCTGTACGTTCGTTCTCCTTTCCCTCTCTTCGTCGTCGCCGGCACAGTCGATCTCCATTGTCGTCGTCGCCGGCACCGTCGATCTTCCATCATCGCCGGCGTTCTCCCCTTCTCTCTCTCATGGGCGGCGTTCTTCCATCATACGCAGAAGAAGACTGGCTGGAGAAAAAAAAAATTAAATAAAATTTTCATAATCCCAAAATTGCCCCTCTCATTATTTAATCATCCCTTCCCTTATTTCCACCATTAGATCAATTAATAAGGATCCAATGGCTGAGGGGGGCTTAGCCAAGTGACTAAGCAGCCCCCCTTAGTCACCAGATCCGCTCTCAGAGAGTTGTAGCAGTTGAATTATCAAAACAAAGACATTAAGAAAGCTAATTTCGTTGAAGACCAATTCATAACAAATTACCCCTACCACTTTAGATAATTATTATCTCAACTAATCATGAAAAGGGAAAGATAGAAACCTACTGTGGAATTAAGTTTCTCGCCACTAACCTGAACTAAAGTCACCACCAGCAGCATGCCGAATGGGAGAGGGCAGGGGAGAGAGCTGGGCTGGATGGCTGGGGATGGAGTTGGGCTCGGACCTTGGATTGGGCTAGAGTTGGGGAATGGGGTTGGGCTATGGGTGGGTAGTATGGGTACCCGTAATACCCAAACGGGTATTAACGGGTAACCCGCGGGTACCCATTGTAAAATTTATGATTCCAAATCCCATCCCGTAAAAAAATTACGGATATTTGGGTACCCGTAACCCTCAAAAAACGGGACGGATCTGGGTATACCCAAATACCCGTTTTCCGTTGCCCACCCCTAGCATTCAGTAAGAACAATCTTTTTGGTTGAGTCCAAAACTTGTGATGGATGCAGCAAGAAGCAAAGCAACACCAAGCAGCAAACCTACAAATATATAGCATTAGCAACTCAGGGAATATCATACGATCGGCACAGCTACTATACAACAAAATTGCCATAACTGGAAGTGGAACATAACACTAATATCCCCCAGAAAACATGCTATATTTACAATTACACACTGGTATTGCCCCTCTTTCAACCCCAACCTTGAATCATAATAGAGGCATTTGCACCATGAACACAGCAAAACTGCAAGTTCTTGCTGTGCACTCTTGTCATCTCCGCTAACTGCTTTCGATCCAGGAGTGCTGCGTGCTGATGATGGAAACTAGCCATAAACATTACCGTCTCGGTGTGGGGCTGATGTAAGGGCTATACATCTGAATCTTCAACTTCAGAACTTAGTATAAAGCTAGGAAACGCCAACGTTATATCTCTGCACCACAACATTCAATAACATGAGTGATCACATCGAAGATACTGCACCAGAGAGCATTCTGTGCCCATAAATGTTTCCTTTTTCCTGAGACTAATAGGCAACTCACTTTAAGTATGGTAATGTCATGTTCTTTATAAGAGATGGATTCTTCTTCACAAATTGCTTCCACTCTTCTGTGTCTATTCTACCGTCGCTTTTCGAGTCGGCGTCTTCAAACGTCTGTGGTCAGTTGCCAGAGAACAAACATGTCAGCTTTTGGACCAAACGGAATAAGATCGAAAAAACAATGGTCAAGAGGGCTTTTATTTTCCTTGTTTTTACCTTATCTACGATTATTTCCACTTCCTCATCCGATAGCATCAGGTTTGATTCATGCAGAAGTGCTAAAACCATCTCCTTCAGCTGTCAATTGATTACAGGATTGCAGTTAACAATAAGCGACGAAAGTAACTTCCTACTGAAGACACAAGATATGGTCGAGGAAAAAATTTAACAGTTAAGTGCTGACCTCTTCTCGCTCGATGAAGCCGGTTTGTCTGAGATCATATAATCTGAAAGCAACTGCAGAAAAGGACCTCTTCCACTTAGAAGGTAACAAACGAAATGGCATACATATATATTCTCCAAATGGTTTGTCTTGTAAAGGGTGCATACCAAGATATTCTCCTAGCTAGACAGAAGTAAGACTTACAAGAAATCTTGTCTTCAACTGGTGCATCTGGATGGAAAACACCAAGAGATCGAACAAACTCTCCAAACTCAATTACGCCATTGCGCTTGACATCAAATAAATCAAACACCTAAAAGATACAAAAGAAAAGAACTCAGAAAGAAAGAAAACACATCATTGTACAAGGTGAAAGATTTTAATAGTATAACACTAATTGATCATCTTGAGATCAGAAAAAGAAAGGGTATTGAAGCAGCATACCCTGTCTGCAAAAAGATTCCTTTTGTTTCTGTTCCTGAAGAGTGCAAACTGAAACTCTTCCTGGTCAGGGAAAGGGATGAACTGTTAGAGATGCTACTATCCATTTAACCATATTATGTACTAGCAGGAAAGTCTCACAAATGAGCATGCACAGCATATGAAACCATCTTCCTTACCTTGTGGATCAGACCATCATCAATTATCGAACTGCTTAGCTTCTTGAAGAGCTGATACAATGCCTCTACTTCACTTACAGTAACTGCAAGCAAATATTTCAGATGTTAATCCTTCACTTTCCTACATGAATTGGCCATATTTTCCAGGATCTAACTAAAAATCTAAGATCAGGATGTGGCTGGAGTCCCCAAGAAGCAAATAGATTACATTTTCCACTTACAAGGTGTTTCAGCGGCAAGAATAATGGGCTCTTCGTAACCGGGTGTGTCTTTATTCGTCTTCGACTGGAAGCAACCCATCAAAGTAGGCTCATGCAAAAGGGTCTCAGTGGACAATGGGCCTGCAAAGAGAGAAGCAGCATTGGATACAGCTGAAATTGATAACTCGTCACCAATAGTTAACTTGCTGGTGGTATATTTTTCTAATCTAGAAATCATGAGCCCCTTGATTCATACATTCCAAGAAGCTAATGTAGTTTCACTACATCATAACATATGAAATTCACCTTGAACTCCACAACAGGAAATCCAGCATGATGAAGGTTGAAAACAGCTCATCTTGGATTCAGCAAATCAGGGAGAAAAGACACAGTAACTATACAGTATACTTTAAGACACTCGCTTTCTTTTTTCCAAAGCAAAGTAAATACTGTTTTATGGGGTTCGATCCACAGCCAAAAGAATGAAAGGGAAAGGGGCTAAACCCTTAAAATTGGACATCTTAACAGTACCACTTGGATAGATTGGTTTACTACAGAGACATTTGTGGACATTTTTCATGCTCCTGTTTAAACCAAGAACACAGCCTTTCATTTAATACAACCAAGCCCAAAAGGAATCCAAGAAAGGAAGCTAACTAATGGCTGGTTCTGCCTGACCTGAACTATTGGCAACCATAATTATTAATTCCATCCAGCCAATGAACTTAAACCACAGTTTTACTGGACCAAAGCTACCATTGCACCATCCACATCAACTTGCATTAAATAAAAATTCCGGAGGATATTCAGAAGCATCAGTACAAAAACTAGGAAGAAAATGTTGCACAAGCTTCCAAAATCCTCTTAATGCTTAATGAAACACCTCTACTAGCAATACACCAACGTAAGCAGGTTTGGCTGAAATTGAGTTATTTATTTTGAAAAGAAAAGTCCAGAAGGTGAAAGTTAAGCTATATGTTAATTATATCAAAGTTCCATCAGTCATTCCTAGAGCTATAATATCGGCCGTAGGTTATAAGGACATAGAGACTAAATTAATAGAGCAGAGATTATAATATGGATTGTCAATCATCCTGTGGTTTTGCTGATGAAACGCTAGCACTAAATTAATCAATAGCGAATCAGAAACCAGATCCGCATACATGGAAACAAACAAGATAGGAACGAACGAAAGAACAAATGAAGGTATGAAAATCCGAACCTATGACAAGTTGATCATGGATCAAAGGACAATGTCAAGATCAGAACTGTTTTCCCTACCACAACTTGATCATGGATAATTAATTTTCCCCCCTACAAGATAGAGAAATCTCACCATAACCTGCATTTTTTAATGCATAGTATTTACATGGGTTCAATCTACAGTCAAAAGAAGAAAATTAAACACGTGAAAACGGCTCAATCTTTCAAATTGGCAATCTCACAATCACCACTCAAGTAGATTGTCATTAAGATCAATGGAGCCATCTCAAAGGGTCGGTTGGTTTACTACAGGGTGCAGAGAATCGACAGATTACGACTTTTTGTCATACTGTTGATTTAAACCCAGAAAAGGGATATAAGAAAAGAAAGCCAACTAATGGTTGGTCTTCTTGCCTGAACTATTGGCAAACATAATTGTTATCTCCATCCGGCCACATCAACTTAAGCCTACAGTTTTCACTGGACCAAGCTACCATTTTTCACATCCTCATCAACTTGTACAATTGTCTAACAAAGAAGACAGCTTTGTTGTGTAAGTTTGTGGAGGATATTCACAAGCATCAGCACAAGAACTAAGAAGATAAATACTGGACAAAGGCTCCAAAACCCTGAAGTTAAATGAATTTCCCTAATAGCAGCACACCCTACGTAAGCAGATTTGGCGCAAGCATTATTTATCTTCGGAAAATAAAAGTCCAGCTATATGTTAAGTAAAAAAGTAACGTAGCTTATCACTAATAGCTAGAGGAAACAATCTCAACCGTAGCTTATAGAAACTAAATAAATAGAGCATATGCATTAAAATAAAATATGGTCAATAGATCAGGAAATCAAGCTGTTCAACCATCCTGTTGTCCTACTGATGTAACGTTCCCCACTAAACCCACAGCGAATCAGAAACCAGATCCCCAGAGGCCAGGAACTGAAACACAAATTGGAACGAACGAATGAATTGAACTAACGAACATCTGAACCTATGGCAACTTTTTGATCATAGCGCAAAAGGGTAGTGTCAAAATCAGAAACTTTTTTGCCCAGGAAGAGCTTTCCTCCTCCCGTACCACAACTTGATCATTCATGGAAAAGGTGATAAAAATCAAAGACTTTTTCTTGGCGAGGACCACCGGGAGCAACAACAACAAAAACGGATCTATCCAAGTTGCATTCATGACAGAGAGCTGACTTCTAATTAGCTTTTATCCACATATGCGGTTCCTTCTGTCTGTTTATGAGAGGTCAGAGCCCAGAGACCTTCCTTCTTTTTACCGTGCCTGCCCTTTTTTCCCAGCAACCAAACAAGGCGGTAAGAAATCAAATTCTTACCTCGGTCATAGAATCAATGCTGGACCCATAATGGGTTGCGAAACACAAAAAAAAAAACAATACCAACAACCATTTACCTACTGATTCACAGAAAAGTAAAAGTCGGGTGCAAGAAAACAGAGCACTTCCCCCTCCGTAAAACAGAGCAGATCGAGCCCAGTGCAGAATGAAGAGCAAGAAACCGTCTAAAAGAGGGAAAGAAAGCTGACCGACCTGTGGTGTGGTGTAGACGAATTTGTGGGTTTTGGATATCAAGCAAACCGAAAAACAAAGGTGGCTGAGAAGATTGCTAAGCTAATATGTAGGATCTCATAAGCAAGAAGAGCCTCTCGCTCGCACACTCGCTCACGGCTCACTCTCGCTAGCGTCGCGTGCGTAATGTATAGTTTATCGCCTCGGCTCCTTCTCGCTCTTTACCTCTCTCTCTCTCTCTCTTTCTCCGAATCCACTTGGATCGCTCTCCGCAGCCGCTGCACCCTGCAATTTATATGCAGACGACAGCTGCCCTCAACCAACTCCCTCCCTTTCTGTACTCCATTTTTGTTTTGTTTGTTTCGTTTGGGTTCTTTGTGGATTCTTTTGTTGTTTTTTTTTTTTTTCTTACGTCTGGTAAGCAATAAAATAACAATTACAGTAATTGCCAGCATGTCCAGCTCAGCTCGTGTGATTTTCTTTAGGGGTGAACAAACACACCCGCAAACTGACCCACCAGTCCAACCCGACCCAACTCACCCATATTTATCGCTAAAACGAAAGTTTTGGGTTGGGTGAGGGTTTTCTTTTGTACAACCCGCCTCTTTTGGGTTGGATTTGGATTTTGGATTACACAACCCGTAGAACCCGACCCAACCCGTGTTCCAACTATTAGTATGAGTTCGGATCTAAAAAATATTTATGTCGTATGTAGTCATATACTTATGAGAAAATTAAGATATTTCGGCATGTTTTTCTCTCATGGTCTCCCTAATTTAATGCATTCTTCGACTTAAAGTTTAGACATAAATTGAATATAGTTATGATTCACGTAATCTTTTTTCTTGTGTACAATTTTAATAGAATAACATATTATGGGTGCGTTTGTTTATAACATTTTTAGCCTATTTCAACAAATATTGTGAAAAAAACAAGACATATGTTGAAGTAGATCACATTTTATTAAAATTCAAACAACATTTGTGAATTTTGATACCTTTCACCTCGGTTCATTCGTTTGAAATTTTAATTAGTTATAAAATATTTTTATGTTGGGTTGGGTTTTTACTTAAAAATATCGCCAACCCGACCCAACCCAATTAGAAACAAACCGTAGGGTTTAAATTTTTTTTGGTGGGTTTGGGTTTGATATTTCTCAAACCGTAGTGCATAGATTGGGTGATTAAAATAACTAAACCCGAACCACCCGACCCATGTACACCCCTAATTTTCTTAACCCCATGCTTTGTGGTGGGGGAGTTGGTCCAAAAAAGAGGGCGATAATAATTGAATAATGGATCTTCTGTAGGCCGTCTGGGCCGATCGGGGGATCAAACCTATCGATAGAATCATAAAGGCCCAGAGGAGGTTACGAGAAGAAAGCCCACCTAACAAGTGTCTCAAAAGTCACATAATAGCACCCTAAATTGAGGTGGTCTGGTTTTTTTTTTATAAATCTTAGAATTTGTTCATTTGTATTTTTCTATAATCTCACAAAACTAAACTAACTTGATTGATCCTCGGATAACAAATCAAAATTAATATAAATTATTACTCCATTTCTTTTAGACGATTGTTCGTGTTCGAAGTAATCCGTTAACATCCAACCAAAACTTTCAAACTAAATCTCTTCTCAAGCCTAATACCCGAAATATATTGTTAAATAAGCTCACAAGTACTTCCATCTTGTGGTTTTGGCTTTCTCTTTCTCCTCCTTAACGTTGAGCTCGTGACCTAGGAGAACAATTTGTTCTTATCATCTACTTTGACAAAGTATGTACATTTGAGAAGAAAAGTCAGAGCAACGAAAATCCAGCTATATGCATGTTAAATCAAAGTCAAAAGTATGTCACAAGAGGTTGATAAGTTATAAGCAAGTTGCTATGAGGAAACACTTTCCGCGAATAGCTAAGCATGGGCGGAGCTAGGATTTCGAAAATAATTAAATGTAAATAAAATAATTATTTTAAAAGTACACAACGTTCTTTGAAATTATTGAAAAATTATTCAGAATCGCATCTAAACTGAATGTTTTGGCTATCTTTCTTTCAATATGGTCTAAAACTCATTGAAAACACTCAAAATAAAGCAAAATGTGAGATAGTGGTGAATTGAACCTGGATGTTTCACACTGAAAACTAGATTAGCCACCAGTGGATTACATGATAATTATAGAAACTAATGTTCTGGTCGAGTCCTACTTATTCAAATTTTATCTAAGTATCCTTAAGGCTCTAGGGCCCGGACTATTCCCGGGGGGCCAGGGCCCACCCTTCCTTGTAAGTAGTTCCGCCCCCTGAATAGCTAGTAAACCATGACAATGCTAGTGTACGCTTGGCGTACAATATGTATGAGTTCACTTATTACATAGCCCTTTAACATTTCGACATATGAAAACCGTCAGTTATTGTTTGAGTTAAGAGTATTTTACTCTTGTACTCTTATTTGTTTTGTATACTATCCTTTTGAGGGATTGTCGAGAAATCAGTTGTCACTTATCAGTCGTAATCAGGATCGATTTGATTGGTACTGACGGACGAAACGTTCCTCCTAACTAGTGAATCGGAAACCAAATCACACCATACCCTGTAAAAGCCCATACAGAACTGCAATGAACGAAACGGAAACATCTCGCCTTCCTTTTTTCCCCCCCAGAAAGTTGTGGGTAGAATTAGGTACCATAACTTGATGTTCGTAAGGATAGTGAAAGTTTGGCGGAAAATGAAAAAAACTTTTTTGGAGCGTGTGATCGAGGGACCACTGAAGGCTGTTAGCGATGAGGAAAAAAAGAAAAAATTGATCCTTCTTCTCCTCCCCAGTTGCAGAGATAACGGCGGTGGGATTCTGTCAGTTTGCTGGAGGTCAGAGGACATAGGGGTTTTGTATTTTTCTTCGCGAGCAACCAAGCAAAGCGGCCAGCGAGAATTCAAAAAAAGAAATTGGCAGGTCAAAATTAGCTAGCTATTTCGGTAGGGTGGAAGGAAGAACCCTTTTCCTCTCTGTTAGAAAGAAGCTCCAATGCTGAAATGAAAAGATGGAAAGAGGCGAGGGAACCAAACACCTTCTAACGCAGAACAGAGCCAGTCGCCGGCGGAATTCATATATATGCGGTGAGCTACCCGCGATTCACCCATGTGAAAGACTAAATCGCTAATCAAGCTCGTGCCGCAATCGTTTTTAACTACTGGTAAGGGAAAAAACAGAGTACATAGACAGAGAGGAAAGTGGAAGAGGAAATCTTAGGAAAACAGAGCAACCCAGTGAAGGGAGGGGAAATGCAGGCAGAATGAAGAGCAAGAAGCGATCAAAATGAGAGAGAATCAGAGAAAGCTTACCTTGTGGAGATGGGTTTTGGATGGAAGCAGAAAAGAATGCAGGCAAAATGGACTTTGCTCGAACTTGCTGCGTGATTTTTTTTTTTTTTTTTTAGTTGGTTACTGCTCAAGCTCTGCAATCGGTCCCCTGCTTTTATAAACTCTCACGGCAGGCAGCCTGTGTACATTTTTGTTTGAATTTTAACTCTGTTCTTTTGAATTTACGTCATTAATTAAATAATAATTATAATGTTTATACAATCGCCAGCAGGTCACCACATCAGCTCGTGCGATTTTGTAACACGTGTGGTCAACTAATTGGGATTTGGGAATGTATGATGATTCAATTAATAATTAGGGTGGCTGAACCAAGCAAAACAACAAACAAATTGGAGAAGGGGGCTGCAGATCAGTGCATAAGCAAGCCCACTTGTTTTGGTTTATGACCTTATTATGGTTATTGGTTAATTATCCATTCACATCAGTGTAATTACCGAAATCATTTTTATAGGTGGTGGTTCTTTGTCAGCTTAATATTTCTGCAATTTTATTCATGTTTATTATTATTATTATTCCACATATGCAATGCAATTACCATCTAAATTTTTTTAATAAAAAAGTGAATAAAAATTCATAAGAAGATAGTAAAAAAATTATTATTTATTTTCTCACGTGGCTTGACTCCTCCTCAATGAAAATTTGAGATGCAAGCTTGTACATTTGCAAGTGCTCCATTTGTGTAATTCTATTTCATTCTTTTGTTCAAGAGATAATAAAAGAAAAGTTAGAAATAACTAAACAAGAAACCTTCATTCTAAAATGTCAAGCACTTGGTTATGCTTGTACTCCTATCGTTGATTTGAATGGAAATGACCTATTGTAAAAAAAACCCTTCATTCTAGGAACCCTTCCAAACTTACACATTAGTACACCCAACCTACAAAATCAAAGAAAACTAACTTTGGAGTAGGGATGGCAATTACCCATCCATGGGTAATTATACCCAAATCCAAGTAGACCCATTGATAATGGGTTGGGTATGGGTGAAGTACATATGGGTTTGGGTAATGTATGAATATTGCTTCCATAATCTAAATGGGTATGGGTTGGATATGGATATCCATTTACTTGAGGGTGTTTTAACTACACATGCAAAAATTGGACCTATTTGTAAAATTTGAAAATTTTAGGTACCAAAATGTAAGACCAAATTTTTTGGGTACCAAAACGTAATTTTCCATCGATATTTTGAGGACTTATATGCAAAAAAAATTAAATTTAGGTACTAAATATGCATATCTATTAAGTTTAGGTACCAAATTGTAATTTGTATTTGGGCATGGGTACAAACCCAAATCCATTTGTTATAAACCCAACCCAACCCAAAGTAAATGGGTATGAGTACAAACCCATCAAACTCTACCCATATCCATCTATTTGGATTTCATACCCAACTCAATTGGGTTGGATAGTTAAAAACCCATGGGTATAGGCAAAATTGTCATCCCTACTTTGGAGGAGAGAGAAATAGGACTTTACGTGCCACTGTATTGTATAGGCAACCTAGTTCGCGGAACTATCGTAAGGACACCTTTCAATAAAGAGAGACAAGCTACGTTCACATTCAATTTACACTGGAAATAGTGGATTTCGTATGTACAGGTTTCTGACTAGATTCCATCCATAAATCGATGGAAA